TCTGCTTATGTTTTTGCGTGAGAATATCAACGTCCCGGAAAACTGGCCAATGCACCTGTCCACAAGTTCGTTATCACCATCGCTACAATGCCTGACAGTGGCTTTGAACTCATTGAATTTCCCCCACAATCACCAGATTCGGCCGGGTAGGGGTCCACCCCTTCTCAAACGTGAAGTAAGAACTGTCTTGCAAGCATTATGCAAATCACGATGTCGTCATTTCTGTGGAAGACTTTTAACGAAAGCCTCTGGCGTTAACTAAATCACTCACTCACTCGTCACACCATCGTCTAATAATATTGCTATATATTAAATGTTTCATTGATGTTATTAAATGTTAATATTATCTTATGGTGTTAAAGATATATACTAACTGCAAAAAGAGTAATGTGCTTCATACAATGTGGTGTAAATGTTATGGTTTTGAAAATAACAACACACTATTTGGTCATTCGTTTAAAACAACGTATTATCATCACAAATGCATTGACAACACTCGTACCTGTTAACAGGAAACAGAGCCACACGCCCTAAAATAGGGGTGGTGCAACAATTCATTTAACAATGTAACCATTTGCGTTAATGCAAGGGAGGCATAGGGTCCGCATGTTGTGCTCAATGCCAAACAAAGATTTGCGAAACTGCGCTAGCGTTACTGGCTCGTTCTGGTCCTACCGTAGGCGTCGATCCATCTCATTTCTGACATGTTCTATGGGGAAAAGATCTGGAGAAACGTCCGGCCATGGCAATACAGCAATGTTATGCTGGCTCAAAGGGTCTGTTGAAACACCTGCAACGTGGGGGCGGGCATTATCCTGCTGCAACGCAACGTTTCGACCCTGCATTTGCCCAAAGGGTAGAACATGAGTAGAACAAGGCAGCGTTCGTCATTCAAATTGCCATTAACAATGACGAATAGTGCTCTCCCATGAATTGAGATGCCACCCAATACCATTACACTTACACCCCATAACTGATGACATTGCGTGACACAATCGTTTCTTGGCCGCCTGTAGACCCTTGAAAGACCATCAGAAATGTCTAGATGAAACCTGGGCTCCTCTCTGAACGGTATACTGTCCCAATCCTGTCTGCTCATCCTCAGAGGTTGTCCTCACTAAGCTTTGCTTGCCTGGCGGAGACGTGAAAGCTAAACTGGGTGTGTCGCTGGTCGTCGGGGCTGGATGTTGTGTTCACTCAACCGGTTGAGAACGATTCAGTCACTAATTGGTCTCAAAATATTAATTGTATTGGCTGTCAATGTGGCAGTTTAGTATCATAGATGCACCAAGCGAAAATGTTTGTCTTGCGGACATGACGTCACCCGAGGACGACCGGACCGTTGGAAGTCATGAGTGATGCCCTGCTGTAGATTTGTATTGAACTTTATATGAAGCACAGTTACTTTTTCCCCTTAGTATATATATATTTATATATATATATATATATATATATATATATAAGGACAAATGCTACCATTGGGCAACATTATGACATATTGCCACCTTTGGGCGACATTGCCATATATTACAAGCATACATAACTTAACTACTCTGCTACAAATATAAACATTCAAAGTTGAAACATAAGTATTAAAAAAACACCTAACCTTTTAAATATAAACAAATAAGGAATATATTTTTTATGTCGCCCATACCTTGTCGCCCAAAGGTAAAGTGGACAGTGTACATGTATATATGAGACCATTAGGCTACTGTCGCCCAAAGGTATATTAAGTATATGTCGCCCAATGGTTGCTCTTTATTATATATATATATATATATGTCACCCAATGGTTGCTGTGTAATATGTATGTACCATATATATGTCTTTCTTATTTAAAAATTGTCACCATTTGGCTTGGCCCTGCCCAGTCATAAATACATTCCATACCATGGCCTTCAATTTTAATCTGTTGTTACATCATTCTTGAAATTCAGAAAACTACTGATGTGCTACAACACACATATGACCAATTCATAGTTCTACTATGGCAGTGTTTAATCTTATAAAAAAGACTGACCACTTCTTATGGTTAGTATTAACAGTCTGCACTTGCTATGATAATATGAATGTTTCCCTAAATACAATATTGTAACACCCATTTATCATTTTGCATAATTCTTCCCAACTCCTTCCTTCAGATTAGGTCAGAACTGAGGTCAAGAAATTTTGGTCAAACTTCCAGTTCAGAATGTTTCAAAAACATGTCTCCAAATAGAAACCCATCATGGCAGATGTATTAAATGTTGACTTTGACCAAGGTTGACTTGATTTCAAGCTTCCTTCTTTGGCACCCAAAGATCTCACAAGCCAGTATGTCCCTGCAAGAACTCTTCGACCAAATCAAGAATTCCTGCTGCAAGTTCCAAAATCAAAGTTAAAGACCTTCAGCATTGTACTCACTCCCTCTCACACTGAAATCAAAGCTAACACTCCAAGTCTGGGTGTAAAACACACATCTTTCAGTGCTATTCACATTATCTCTGCAGATATGGTTGATAAGCACTTACAGAGCAAACTGCATTCCTGCTATTTGTGTGTACTCGGGGCATGCCTGTGTGGTGTGGACATACAGTGCAATATAGATGGCCTTAATTTTTATTTTTGACAAAGCTCACTTTAAATGAAATAAGTTAGGAACAAGAACAAACCATCAATACATGCTACATTAATTAACCGCTATGATTGTTTTTTATCTTTTATAAGATTCTGAAAGTTTTCTCTATTGCTGTTTTCATGGAAACATGATGGAATTTAGAAATTTTGATGACTGGTTTGTATAGCTAATATATTTTTTAAAAAAAATTCCACACATGTAGATCATCATAAGTATCTGTGCTTTGTGATAGTTTGAATTTATGAATCTTTACCATATTTGTTTAGGCTAGATGGAAATTATTAATTTGTTGATTTTCTTATATGATATTGTTCCATATTTTTTTGTTTTTTATATCAACAATTTTCGGTCCTTTTGATAATTCTTCTTATGTAACTCCTCAATCAAATATTTATTCAAAGGTGTTCATGGTGATCTACTTCCTCGTATTGAACACTCGTAACATGGGAGATTCGGAAGGGGGGAGGGGGTCAATTGTCACTGGAACTCAATCTTAATTTTTAAAACAGTTAGAAATATGTAATATTTCATTCATTTACAAAGTATTTACTATTTGTTGTTGACCAGCGGGGATAACGGGGGTATTTGAGCTTTGCTCACTTCTTTCTTGTTTGTTCTGCTAGGCATTGTTTAACATCCTGGGATTAAGATTACCTTGCATATTTTCTCTAAGGCGGAAACAGCAATCAGATGTACACACGTTTTCTTGGAATCTACCAGTGATTCGGTTAAAACTTACTCATTAATATACCTTTGAAGGATTTCAGTGCAAGGATCGGGGAAAAATTGTATCTGAAACTATTTTTTTATCAGGAAAATATATATTCCAGTATCATGTTATTTTGGTTGCAGCTGTAATTAAATATTTAAATAATAATAATAAGCCTAAGCGTAGTGATTGCTGGTTATTTTTTCACATGGAACAATTTGACCAGTCACCGTTGAGGCTGCGGCACATGTGATCGTGAGAACTACATGTTGACATAGAATCATCAAACAACAACAAATGTGACATTTTTTATACATTTATGTATGTATGTATCATTGTTTGTATCAGTGTTTGTCTGTATCATTGATTGTATAACTGTATGTATGTATCAATGTTTGTATCAGTGTATGTATGTATCATTGATTGTATGATAGTTTGTATCATTGTTGTTTTCTGCCTCATGGTATGTATGTCTCATTGATTATATCATTGTATGTATGTGACCCGTAAAGATCTGTGGTAGAATAGGTCTTCAGTAACCCATGCTTGCCGGAAAAGGTGACTATGCTTGTCATAAGTGGCGACTGACAGGGTCGGTGGTCAGACACGCCGACTTGGTTGATGGGTGTCATCGTATCCCCACTGCGTGAATCGATGCTCATGATGTCAATCACTGGATTGTTGGGTACAGACTTGACTTTTTAAAGACCGCCATCACATCACATCTTATGTATGTATCATTGATTGTATAACTCTGTGTGTGTATGTGTATATGTGTCTGTGTCTGTGTGTGTATATGTGAATCTGTGTGTGTGTGTGTCTGTGTGTGTGTGTGTGTGTGTGTGTGTAGGATCATGTTACTAACCAGTTAACCACTAAACCAGCATGTAAGTAAGTATGCAATGAAGTGAGAAAGCAATTATCTAATCAGTACTAAATAATGTATGTATGTGTATGTGTGGGGATGTATCGGAGGGGATGTGTGCATGCATGCAGCTTGTGGATGGTAGTGAGGTGTGTTTGTTACTAACCTGTGCTAACCTACTAAACAAAAATGTGTGTGTGTGTGTGTGTGTGTGTGTGTGTGTGTGTGTGTGTGTGTGTGTGTCCGGTGTGTGTGTGTGTGTGTGTGTGTGTGTGTGTGTGTGTGTGTGTGTGTGTGTGTGTGTGTGTGTGTGTGTCCGGTGTGTGTGTGTGTGTGTGTGTGTGTGTGTCCGGTGTGTGTGTGTGTGTGTGTGTGTGTGTGCTATTTGGCCCCGCCCCTCAGCCCCCTGGGGGGTGATCATCCCTTCCATTTGTACAATTTTGAATTCTCACCACCGGGGAATACTTACAACCATATATGGCTGATATCTATCATTTAGTTCCAGAGAAGAAGTCGTTTAAAGCAATAGAGCCAAATTACCCCTATTTGGTCCCCTAGGGGTACAATCCCACCATTTGTACAATTTTGAATCCCCACCACCTAGGGATGCTTCCAGTCAAATTTTGTTAGTTTCCAATCAGTGGTTCAGAAAAAGTCATTTGTAAAATAAATGTTGACGTACGGACACCAGGCGGACGCCAGATGCCATGGTATGGACCAGGTGAGCTAACGATCATACATACATACATACAATGTTTTCCTAGACCACACCAAACTCTAATAATCACCTTAAACACAACAAAATATACACTGGAACAGCTGTGCGGTACACGGCAGTTTATTTTCGAAGCACAAGACGCAAGACACAACACACAGTGACATCACGTCACTCAATATACCATTATAACATGTGTTATAACATATAGAATATAACATATCGAAACATACAAATGGCAATGGTACCTGAAGCCCGACACGTAAAACCAGAGATAAAAATTTTGTTAATACAAAAAGCTCTGGAACCGTGTTCTCCCTACGAATGCAACAGGACCAGTAACTGGGGAGTATACAGTATTTGAATTACCCTTTACACATGTCCAACATACTTTTACAAATACAAATTATACACAAAAGCCTTATTTTACTCATCTAACATGGGTCACACACACCCAATACAGCAGTATTATAATGGTTCTGCCAACCGAACATTTCCAAGACCAAGTATTCTAATGGCTCTGCAGCCTACCGTACATTGTGTAGCCAATGAAATGCAAACATATATACAAAGTATTCTAAAGGCTCTGCAGCCACAATTCACATGTGGTAGTAAACACGATTATACCAATGAGTATTTTAACAGCTCTCCAGCATCATCAACACACATGGCCTGTCAACAGAGACAGATGACCATAACAGAATGTGGCCTCACCGCCACACGTCCACATCTCAAAACGAAATGCCTGAAACATGAAAAAGATATTAGAAACGGAATAATAAAAATGAAAGAAGCAAACATCAATAAATTTACATGTTAATTGAACTGCCGTGATTGCAAGCGAGAGAGGCGACATCATAAAATCCTACCCTTATATAGCCCCAAGTATCAGCGCCATCTACTGGCATTATTACCTCCCTTGATTATAGAACGTACCACTAGGAGAAAGTAGTTTCCCTCTAATTCACTACTTCAAACGAGGGAAACATCATTTCTCCTAGACCACACCAAACTCTAATAATCACCTTAAACACAACAAAATATACACTGGAACAGCTGTGCGGTACACGGCAGAGATTCAAAGAAAGTCTAGAGTCCGAGAGAAAGTGAAACTTTTAAGCCTGAATTGAAGATTATCTGTCACGTAGCCATCTTTTGCTTTTTCACTTCTCCAACGACCATGTCTCTTAAACATGCGATCGGGGATGCCATTATTAGCTGCTGCAGATGCACCACCACTTCGAAGACTATGCAGTCCATAATTCTTTATATTGTCAACAAATGGCGTAAATGCTTCAATGAACAATTCCCTCAAACGCGAATAAGTCATGGGTACATTAATATTTCTAAGTTTATAACCAGCAATACATTTGGACAAATCTCTGAATATATATTCAGATGAATCGAGACTTATCTCCGCACTATTTAGATATCTCTCTAAACATACCACTGGACAAAGCTTGGTGTTTGTCCGCCCAATAGCCAGCCACGCCCCATCTCTGTAGACATCAGTCTTAGACTGCTCAATGAATACCATCATATGAGCATCATAAAATACAATGTCTGATCTCGTGATCTGCAACAATTCTGCTGACCTTAAAAACCCAGCAAAGGCTAATAAGCACATTGACATAATTCTCAAATCATACAGTGATGGATCTGCCATTCTACCATCATACAACTTTTCTAGCCGGCTAATGGTAATTGGCTCCTTCTTACATACATCCTTAGCCAATTTTCGCCTTGCTGCCTCCAAGACATTACGCACCAGTGAATTATCAGTTGGACTTGCTAAACCAATACAAGTATGAGCATGACGGATGCTATAGAACGCTGTCTGAACAGGAGATATAGAATCACTCTGCTGAATTACAGATAACAGGTATAAAGCACAGTACAATGACGACAATGGCAATTTTACAGACATAGAATTGACGATCGCCCACCTTTTCCAAGCTCCAAAGCCATATGTATACTTTCTTGTTGTAGAATCAGCTCTACACCCTGCTAAGAGGCCTGGCAGAGCCGCTGCTAATTCGCGGACACCTCTCGGAAGTGTAGCAATCTCATCACTATAGTTTGTCCGAAATATATCTGAAACACCCAAAATACGGTCTTAATCAATCTTAAGCGCTAACATGTTAAATGAAAGATCTTTCTCTCCAAACATGCCACCCTTTATTCTACTGGCAACATAAGCCTCCTTCGATCGTGGCAAATACATCCAATCTCTCACCTGTGGAATGAATACTGAGTTGGGACATATCAATGGCCAGAAACAAGCAGAGTGCCACTCTGGTATCACAAGGGTACCCTTAGCCTTACATTCTGACATGTGTTTGATTGCCCTCGGAATCAAACATACAGGAGGAACCACCCAATTCCTAACTCCACTCCAGTTGACAGTGAAACAGTCCACAACGTCACTTCCAGGATTGCTGTACCTGGAATTAAAACACTGAAGTTTAGTGTTATAATATGACGCAAATCTGTCTGTTTGATGTGGACCCCATTTCTGTTCAATTTGCTGAAATATGGTCTTTGAAATACCCCAGTCATCATAATCAATCATTCTGCTAAGATAGTCAGCTGTCTGATTATCACATCGTGGAATCCACTGCATGTACAACTGTATTGACTGTTTTGTACATATTTCAAATATATGTAAAGTCAATGTTTGCAAATGTATTTTCATGCTGCCTTTCTCAATGACTGACACAATGTTTGTATTGTCTGTACACCACATAACACGGTTGCTCTTCAGGTTGGGAATAAAGCTCAGTAATGTCAAGTGAACAGCCTTTAACTCCCTCCATGTAGAACTCTGACGAGCTTCTTCCGCAGACCACTGACCATGGGACTTGTCAGAATCAATCTCAACACAGTACCCACCAAAACCACTATCACTGGCATCAGAATAAACAAGTCTTGTAGTAAGAGATTTTTCAACAAGTGCTCTTGAAGAATGTTTGTCAATATTACCCAGCCAAAATTTCAATTGATGAATACTGTCACATGAAAGTTTTAATGAACTATGCCAAGAAGAAACCAAAAGTATGTCTATGCTTAATGACCTTGTCATAAGCTGTGATAACGGCCCCAGGACCAGTTTCATGGACACTAGCTGACCGACAACAGAAGCTACATCTCGCACTTTGACATTCTTTGAATTGGATTTTAATAGGTCAGTAATTGAACACTTCACCTTGACTATCTTCCTGTGAGGTACAGATATAGTCATATTTGTAGTCTGAATGTGAAAACCGAGCCATTCCAAGGACTGTGAAGGTGCCCATAAAGATTTGTCAACTTTAGGTACAAACCCCGACTTAATCAAGTCATTTTTAATGACAGAACCTGAATTTAGTGCTCTTAATTCTGACTCTGCTGATAATATACCATCATCCAAGTATGTGACTATCTTATGTCCTTCAAAACGCCACTTCTTGACAAGCTGGCGAGTGACTTTTGTAAAAACGTATGGAGCTGTTGTCAGTCCAAAGGGAAGTACTACAAACTTATAAAAATGTGTTTTTCCATCAGGGGCATTCCAAGCAAAGCCCAAAAAGTCAGTATGCCCTCCGTAGATATCTATATGATGATATGCTGAATGGATGTCAAACTTGATTAGCCAATCATTTGCACTGATTTATTCTAAAGCAGTTTTCCAATCTTCAAATTTCAAAGTCTTTTTGAGCACAAACCTGTTGACGATACTCAGGTCTAAAATCAAGCGTTTCTTACCCGATGACTGTATAGCGACAGATAGAGGATTAACAACATACGGCAGGATATCACACTCAACAACTAGTTGTTTCTTGACAAGCTCTTATACAGCTTCAAGCTCTTATACAGCTTCACACACAAAATCAGCGTTATTTAAGGCACACTTGTTATTATGCAAGTGCATTTTGGGTGACATACACAAAAATGGAATTTTGTATCCATTTTTGATTATATCTAAAACAAAGTCACTTGCACCTATCTGTTGCCAAAAGTTTTCATTCTGTTTCAAACAAACTTTAACGACAATTTCTGCAGCACCCTGCTCATATTCAAAGTAATTATCAGTCAATTTAAGATTACATGCATCGAAACATTGTGTAGATGAACACTTAGCTGATAGACCTTGGCATGTGCCCTCTCTACTGCGTGGCGGTTGCTGACGGGACGCTGCTTGACATCCTTGCAGTCTGGACATTTGCGTTGAGATAGGGACAGTCTCTTCTGAAGTGCGTGAATTCTCCGCAGTGAAAACATGATCCTTGTCGCTGACCTTTGCCTCGAAAAAGCTGGTTGTTGATTGGTGGAATCGACTGCACACCAGAAGAAGCAGGTAAAGCAAACTGCACAGGCTGTGTAGTGAAAGTCGTGGACCTGGCTCTTGACCTTGTTTCCCTCCCGTGACCAGCTGTATTCTTTTTCGGCTTTTATGTTTCTTACGTCTTCAGATGTCTGCAGAAACTCTTTTCGTATTGAGGTTAACTTGGAATCGATTGCCAATTCAATTTCTGTCTTGTTTGAATTAAGCTGAACCAAGATGGCATCTAGTTTTGCCGCGGTTGATTCATCAGTCATGTTGTTAATTGAACTGCCGTGATTGCAAGCGAGAGAGGCGACATCATAAAATCCTACCCTTATATAGCCCCAAGTATCAGCGCCATCTACTGGCATTATTACCTCCCTTGATTATAGAACGTACCACTAGGAGAAAGTAGTTTCCCTCTAATTCACTACTTCAAACGAGGGAAACATCATTTACGATCAATGATACAAACATACAATGATACATACAAACCATGATACATACATGTGAGTGAGTAAGTGAGTGAGTATGATTTTACGCCGCTTTAAGCAACATTCCAGCAATATCACTGCAGGGGACACCAAAAATGGGCTTCACACATTTTACCCATGTCGATGATACATACACACAATGAAACATACATTGATACATATATACAATGATACATACAAGGATAATTAATAAGACAGGAATATGGGCTTCCATAATTACCTTGGTACTAAATTTCAACCAGCAAGTAGCAAGTATTTCAAGCACATTCCAAAGGGATATCTTGCATTGCAAGTATTTCAAGCACATTCCAAAGGGCTAGTCTGCACAGCAAGTATTTCAAGCACATTCCAAAGGGCTAGTCTGCACAACAAATATTTCAAGCACATTCCAAAGGGCTATTCTACATAGCAAGTATTTCAAGCACATTCCAAAGGGCTAGTCTGCACAACAAATATTTCAAGCACATTCCAAAGGGCTATTCTACATAGCAAGTATTTCAAGCACATTCCAAAGGGATATCTTGCATTGCAAGTATTTCAAGCACATTCCAAAGGGCTAGTCTGCACAGCAAGTATTTCAAGCACATTCCAAAGGGCTAGTCTGCACAACAAATATTTCAAGCACATTCCAAAGGGCTATTCTACATAGCAAGTATTTCAAGCACATTCCAAAGGGCTAGTCTGCACAGCAAATATTTCGAGATCATTCCAAAGGGCTATCCAGCATAGCAACAATCTCATTAAAATCAGATCTTAGTTCTCGCTACTGCTAAACAAAGATCTGAGGACATCTCATTGTGGGTCATGTCAGAACGACCTTTCATCTGACCAATCAGAGCATCGCTTATCAGATCATGAAAGTGACAGTTAAAATGTGATTTTTGATGGTGCAACCTAAAAAAAAACCACACAGGGTATTCCGAAAGATAGTTATGGTCTTAATACCCCTCACAAGTTGAGAGGGATAGTTACATACATGTAGGTGCTAAAGTCCAGGTCACTCAGTCTGACAATTAAAGGGAAGAAGTTTACCATGTGTTGACAGAGCTAAATATGCATTACACTGTATTTTAATGTTCAGTTATCTAATTTTCCTGAAATGCGTTCCATCTCTTCTTTCTCCTTTGTTGTTGTTTGTTCTGTTCATTCATGATTTTGGTTCTAAGCTGAGCATATGAACAGTCAAGCTTTGAGCTCTGAAGGTATGCAAGAACTGTTTTCCTGTCTGAAAAATAACAAAAGTTGTTAAAATTATGTCCACTCTGAGGTCAACATGAGCAATAGAAATTTACACTAATTCTATAGTCCTTGTATGTATGTATCATCGACAGTTAAGTTGTCATACGGACAAGTAGAAATTTGCCATTTTAAGGATTTTACTATATATGTTATCTTTATGAGTATTAGTGGACTAAAGATGTTACTTTGAAAGGCTGCACAAATAGATATAATCACATATAATCCCATACATAAGTTTAGTCTATGGTTAGAATAAAAATAAATATGAAATAATATGACAACTCAATTAAACCCACAAATCTGAAAACACACATTGTGTAATTACCTTGTAAAATGCAAACGATATAGTCTTAATTTTTTTATTTATTTCTATCTATGTTAAATCTCAAAGTTGTGAGACAGACATGAGGTCACTCTGGAATGAAATAATGTCATGATGGAATGGATGACATCCCATGCGTCTGTGATAACAGAAAAAGGCATGAAAAGCACCCATGAAGAAACTTACTTGGCAACGAATTGCCACTTGGTAGACATATCCACTCCTTAAATGTGTCTCTAATCAGTCTTGTATTTGCCTCTGTCCACTTGAATCTTTTGGTATCAAAATCTCTTGGGTTTTTCTCCACTAAACCTGGACTGGTAAGACACAGAGAGCCTGTATTTACGTCATGGGCATCTTCTTCCTGTTGCTCGGCTATTGCAACCATGTCAGGTTGGCTTTGAATCCCAGACTCAGTCGCCAGAGGAGCATCACCTGATTTTAAAAAATGATATAATTGACATCTTGAACACCTTTTACATCACTTGAGTGATTAAAATACAATCAAACTTCAACACACAGAAAAAGAATGTACTGATGCTAGTACTGAGTAGTTTATGATATACATTATTAGTACTGCCTAAAATTAAAGGTCTTTCACAAAGTCAAACCTAGTAGCTTTTGTTAGAATCAAAATGGCTTCTTCAAAATCATCATATGCAATGTGCATTGTCTTTCATCACTTGTGAGTTCAGTGATCTTATTCAAAACCAGGTAAATTAATCATCCTTATAATTTACACCTTAGACTAGTTATCCTGCTACTAAGAAATGATAAACACTAGACTGCGGGCTACAAAACGTCTATGAAGTCAATGACTCATGTAAGCTATTCATATTCACCTTGATCAATTTGAAGTAGGTGTTTCCCAACTTTGGTAACTTCTTGAATTGGGAGAGGGTACTGGTAGACCCCTTCATTGACACCCTTGCTGTGTCCCATATGTTTGTAGAAGTATTCTCTGTCAGAAGTAGGAACTTCAAGTGAAGCATATATGGTACTGATCCTGTGTCGTTGTTTTGATGCTGTCAACAACTCTGGATGCTTCACACCAGCTGCATCACACATACTCCTTATCGCATCCCAACCTAGCACATGATATGGTGACTGTTGTGTGTTTGGAAATACATAAGGATTTTCCTCCAGAATCCCAACTTCCTTCCTCTTGTCTTTGTCAGTAAGTATGGACAAGGCACCGACACAGTCTCTTGGGATCAGGACTGGAACTAAATGGTTCCCTTTCCCAGCCTGGTATGCAACAAGCATTTCACCGAAGAGCTTTTTCTCCCAGGTCTCCAACTGTTCCACTCTGGAGTCATCGATCCATCTCTTGGTAACTGCGTCATCCAAATTTGTAGTTTTCAGTCGTGATGGCTCACCACCCCGTCGTGCGTTAAACAGAGTAATTCTGCAGCACACAGCATCTCGGAGAGTAACATATTCGTTACGCCCAATGAATTCATACTCTGACATCAATCTCTCAATTGTATTCAGAGTATGAACCCTCAAGGTGGTGACTTCCTCTTCTCTTGCTTGCTGTTCTGGCATTCTCAGTCTTTCCTGTCTACTTCTATTGATTGAATAAGCTGCATCTCCAAATAAAATGTTCTGGTTTAAATCTAGCAAATGAATAAATTTTTCTATTTCACTTGCTTTGGCATCCTCTTCTTCTCCAAATGAACGCAGCATGAGAAGATTGGCTGATTGTCTCAGGAGATAGAACAATGAGTTTTTTAAACCATACTTGAGCCTCCCTTCAGTGGTGGTCACCTCCTCAACTGCTTGCTCCAATATTGTAAAGTTTCGACGACGAAACATGTCTTCCCCTGTCATGCCATGATGTGACTTGCCTCGGAATGCAATGAGTAATCTTGACAAAAGACGCATATCGTTCATCACCGATTTTCTTGTTTCCATCGTCTTTTCAATTTTTCTTAAGTTTTTTTGAAAGAGAATTCTTCCAATAGCAACTATTGTTGGTTCAGTTTGGCATGTTTTGCCGACCTCATCAGGATGAAAATGAAGTAATACTTCTTTAGAAAATACATCTTGCTCCTTTGTTGTACTCTCCTTCAAATGCAGCATTTCAACTGGCACGGAACTGGGGACAAATGTGCTATCCTTCATGCATAGGTCCTTGTGTCTATGGTAGAGACGCCGACTATAAAATCCCTTACACAAAGAGCAGCATACAAGATCTTTCTGTCCTTTTCTCTCAGCTTCAAATTCTGGTGTATCTTCTCCCGACTGGTTTTTGTTGAATTCATAGATCCCACGCTTTCTAAAATTCTCAAACATTGCATTTCTTTCTTTTGAGTTTTTGGGAAATTTCATAGCCTCGGAAACTTCAGGAATGTCCTGATGCTGTTTAGATATGTGTCTGGATAATTGCGTTTGACCAATTTTGCAGAATGGGCATCTGTGCTCTGGCTTCCTGTATTTATCTGTGAAAGAAAGAATATGATGTAAAAAATAATGTATAAGACATAAAAGTTTTAGCCAACCTGCCATATAATGTTACTTTTACTATAAGTATAAGTATATACTATGAGTAACTACAACTTCAGACCGAGTATTATGTCATAATCAGCAGATCTTTGAGCTACAGATCATCACAGATATATACACATATCATAATCAGCAGACCTTTGAGCAACAGATCATCATAGATATATATACATATCATAATCAGCCACCTTTGAGCGACAGATCATCATCAATATATATACAAATATCATAATCAGAAGACCATTTGGTGACAGATCATCACAGATATTTATACATATCATAATCAGCAGACCATTGGGCAACAGATCATCACAGATATACATACATATCATAATCAGCAGACCATTGGGTGACAGATCATCACAGATATATATACATGACATAATCAGCCTACTTTGGGCAACAGAACATCACAGATATATATACATATCCTAATCAGCAGATCTTTGGGCGACGGATCATCACAGATATATATACAAATCATAATCAGTAGCCTTTGGGCAAACGATCATCACAGATACATATCATAATCAGTGGCTTTTGGGCAACAGATCATCACAGATATATATACATATCATAATCAGTAGCTTTTGGGCGACAGATCATCACAGATATATATACATGACATAATCAGTAGCTTTTGGGCGACAGATCATCACAGATATATATACATGACATAATCAGCAGACCATTGGGTGACAGATCATCACATATATATATACACATATCATAATCAGCAGACCATTGGGCGACAGATTTTCACAGATATATATACATATCATAATCAGCAGGCCATTGGGTGACAGATCATCACAGATATATATATACATGACATAATCAGCAGACCATTGGGTGACAGATCATCACAGATATATATACATATCATAATCAGCAGACCATTGGGTGACAGATCATCACAGATATATATACATATCATAATCAGCAGACCATTGGGTGACAGATCATCACAGATATATATACATGACATAATCAGCAGACCATTGTGTGACAGATCATCACAGATATATATACATATCATAATCAGCGGACCATTTGGTGACAGATCATCACAGATATATATACATGACATAATCAGTAGCTTTTGGGCGACAGATCATCACAGATATATATACATATCATAATCAGCAGAACTTTGGGTGACAGATCATCACAGATATATATATACATATCATAATCAGCAGACCTTTGGGCGACAGACCATCACAGATATACATACATATCATAATCAGCAGACCATTGGGCAACAGATCATCACAGATATATATACATATCATAATCATCAGATCTTTGGGCAACAGATTATCACAGATATATATACATATCATAATCAGCAGACCTTTGGGTGACAGATCATCACAGATATATATACATATCATAATCAGCAGACCTTTGGGCGACAGATCATCACAGATATATATACATATCATAATCAGCAGACCATTGGGCGACAGATCATCACAGATATATATACATATCATAATCAGCAGACCTTTGGGCAACAGATCATCACAGATATATATCCATATCATAATCAGCAGACATTTGGGCGACAAATCATCACAGATATATATACATATCATAATCAGCAGACAATTTGGAGACAGATCATCACAGATATATATACATATCATAATCAGCAGACCATTGGGCAACAGATCATCACAGATATATATACATATCATAATCAGCAGACCATTGGGCGACAGATCATCACAGATATATATATACATATCATAATCAGCCTACTTTTGGCAACAGATCATCACAGATATATATACATATCATAATCAGCAGATCTTTGGGCGACAGATCATCACAGATATATATACAAATCATAATCAGTAGCCTTTGGGCAACAGATCATCACAGATATATATACATATCATAATCAGCAGATGTTTGGGCGACAGATCATCACAGATTTATATACATATCATAATCAGCAGACCTTTGGGCGACAGATCATCACAGATATACATACACATCATAATCAGTAGACCATTGGGCAACAGATCATCATATATATACACATATCATAATCAGCAGATCTTTGGGCGATAGATCATCACAGATATTTTTCATATCATAATCAGCAGACCATTGGGTGACAGATCATCACAGATATATATACATATCATAATCAGCCTACTTTTGGCATCAGATCATCACAGATATATATACATATCATAATCAGCAGATCTTTGGGCAACAGAACATCACAGATATATATACATATCATAATCAGCAGACCTTTGGTTGACAGATCATCATAGATATATACATATCATAATCAGCAGACCATTGGGCGACAGATCATCACAGATATATATACATGACATAATCAGCAGACCATTGAGCGACAGATCATCACAGATATATATACATATCATAATCAGCAGACCATTGGGTGACAGATCATCACAGATATATATACATATCATAATCAGCCTACTTTTGGCAACAGATCATCACAGATATATATACATATCATAATCAGCAGATCTTTTGGTGACAGATCATCACAGATATATATACAAATCATAATCAGTAGCCTTTGCGCAACAGATCATCACAGATATATATACATATCATAATCAGCAGATCTTTGAGCGACAGATCATCACAGATATATATACATATCATAATCAGTCTACTTTTGTCAACAGATCATCACAGATATATATATACATGACATAATCAGCAGACCATTGGGCGACAGATCATCACAGATATATATACATGACATAATCAGCAGACCTTTGGGCGACAGATCATCACAGATATATATACATATCATAATCAGCAGACCATTGGGTGACAGATCATCACAGATATATATACATATCATAATCAGCAGATCTTTGGGCGACAGATCATCACAGATATATATACAAATCATAATCAGTAGCCTTTGGGCAACAGATCATCACAGATGTATATACATATCATAATCAGCAGATCTTTGGGCGACAGATCATCACAGATATATATACATATCATAATCAGCAGACCTTTGGGCGACAGATCATCACAGATATATATACACATCATAATCAGTAGACCATTGGGTGACAGATCATCACAGATATATATACATATCATAATCAGCCTACTTTTGGCATCAGATCATCACAGATATATATACATATCATAATCAGCAGATCTTTGGGCGACAGATCATCACAGATATATATACATATCATAATCAGTAGCCTTTGGGCAACAGATCATCACAGATATATATACATATCATAATCAGCAGACCATTGGGTGACAGATCATCATAGATATATATACATATCATAATCAGCCTACTTTGGGCGACAGATCATCACAGATATATATACATATCATAATCAGCAGACCATTGAGCGACAGATCATCAAAGATATATATACATATCATAATCAGCCTACTTTTGGCAACAGATCATCACAGATATATATACATGACATAATCAGCAGACCATTGAGCGACAGATCATCACAGATATATATACATATCATAATCAGCAGACCATTGGGTGACAGATTATCACAGATATATATACATGACATAATCAGCCTACTTTTGGCAACAGATCATCACAGATATATATACATATCATAATCAGCAGATCTTTGGGCGACAGATCATCACAGATATATATACAAATCATAATCAGTAGCCTTTGGGCAACAGATCATCACAGATATATATACATATCATAATCAGCAGATCTTTGGGTGACAGATCATCACAGATATATATACATATCATAATCAGCAGATCTTTGGGTGACAGATCATCAAAGATATATATACATATCATAATCAGCCTACTTTTGGCATCAGATCATCACAGATATATATACATATCATAATCAGCAGATCTTTGGCCGACAGATCATCACAGATATATATACATATCATAATCAGCAGACCATTGGGTGACAGATCATCACAGATATATATACATATCATAATCAGCCTACTTTTGGCAACAGATCATCACAGATATATATACATATCATAATCAGCAGATCTTTGGGCAACAGATCATCACAGATATATATACAAATCATAATCAGTAGCCTTTGGGCAACAGATCATCACAGATATATAGACATATCATAATCAGCAGATCTTTGGGCGACAGATCATCACAGATATATATACATATCATAATCAGCAGACCTTTGGGTGACAGATCATCAAAGATATATACATATCATAATCAGCAGACCTTTAGGGAAGGCTGGCTGAAAAGTTCTAAGCCTAAGTGGGATATCTCAATCAGATTGAAACAAACTTTTGCCACCAACAAGTACAATCATTTAATGAATCATAGACATAAGAACTGCAACTGTAGTGTTATTATTGTCTTTGTACCAGACCATCCTGTGAACCTACCCATTGAAATCACCAGAAATGGACAAAACTGGCTATAGGGCAGTCATCAAGTACCTGCAACTGAAAGGGCTAACTCCAACACAGATACAAGCTGACATGGTCTCCACTTTAGGGGATGATGCCCCTTCCTTTTCCAATGTAAAGAAGTGGGCTGCGGAATTCAAGTGTGGCAGAGAGAGCTTTGGCGATGACCCCCGTCCAGGAAGGCCTTCAACAGCAACCATTCTGGAAAACATTACCCGGGTGCATGACATGGTGATGGCTGATCGACGATTGACCCCTCGACATATTGCCAGTGTTGTGGGCATCTCTCATGAGAGGGTTGAGCACATTATCACCAATGAGTTGGGAATTACAAAGGTTTCTGAAAGATGGGTGCCAAAGCTCTTGACAGCGAATCAGAAACGTGTCAGATTCCTGACGTCCCGTGACAATTTATGCCGTTTTGAAGCAGATCCCGATGATCTTTTGGCCCGATTTGTAACCATGGATGAGATCTGGATTCATCACTTTCAACCAGAAACCAAAATTCATTCTAAACAATGGAAGCATCCGGAATCACCAGCCCCCCAAAAAGCCAAGTCCGTTCCTTCTGCTGGAAAGGTGATGGCTTCAGTCTTTTGGGATTCCAAGGGTATTCTGCTGATTGACTATCTTGAAAAAGGCCAGACTATCAATGGAAGATATTATGCTTACCTACTGAGACAGTTGCGTGAAGCTATCAAAGCTAAGCGACGGGGAATGCTCACTAAAGGAGTCCTAATCCACCAAGACAATGCTCCTGTTCACAAATCGGTGGTTGCCATGACAGCGATCCATGACTGTGGCTTCGAACTCATTGACCATCCCCCTTATTCACACGATTTGGCCCCGTCAGACTTCCACCTGTTTCCCAAAATAAAAAAGGAACTAGCCGGTTGCCACTTTCCTGGTAATGATGACGTCATTTCCACTTTGAATGAGTTTTTTAGGGTGGCTGAAGAAAATTTCTTCTTGACCGGCATCCAGGCCTTGCAGCATCGCTGGCAAAAGTGTGTAAACCTGGTAGGGGACTATGTGGAGAAATAAATGAAAACCATCGACTTGGTACGGGTCTTTCACAGTTAGGCTTAGAACTTTTCAGACAGCCCAAGTAGTTTAGGATGCAGTACTACATTCAAACAGAAAGTCCTTTGCTTCTGGAAACTTAAAAGGTGTGCTGGAAAGCAAATTCTTGCCATTTGCATCATGATTATCAGGTAGGTTATGGATGTTCACTAATCTTAATTTCTAGGAAGATGCTATTTAAAACTTAACTTACCTTTCGCCTTTGAGTGCATTTGCATATGCACAGTATATCCCCCTTTCTTTTTTATGACCTTTTGACAGACACCACATCTGAATCCTGAAAAGGCCAACGAAAGAAACTGAAGCTGCTGACTTTGTTTTGCAAACAGGTGTCTGCAGTACACTAATCATAATCAAAACACAAAGTATATGTTGGTACCCATTCCTTACCAGCTACATACCAACTGCAGCATTTTGCAAGTTGGCACATATTTCCTACTAACTTTGGAAATGACCAACATGCATGACCAGTAAGGGTGTACGAAGGTCAACAGTACATGCATCATGTACATGTATTGCAAAACAAACCTTGTGTATCAATATTTTCCGTTACATTTAACAAAGAATTGATGTTTACTTGCATAAATTATATCTACTATCTTGAGAAATTTGGATGGACTGAGTTCTTATCATAACAGCCAACTCTTTTCTCTGTTTACATTCCATATTGATGACATATGCCAGTCTTGTTTATCTGTACTGTCAAAATACATCTTGCAATGTGAAACCTGGATTAGTGAGTGAAGTAGTACCATTTGAACAGTCAAATATTGGGATATATTGCAAATCAATATAGGCCAAACCTGAGGAACAGTGAATTTTTAATTGTTAATGAACTTTATTAAAAAAGAATAACCCTCACCTGTTTTCTCAACATCAGCTGTTTCTTCCCTGTCTTCCATAAAAACTTCATCATCATGGGATAATTCGTGACATTCATCTGATGCCACTTGATGCTTGTCCTGTAACTCCTGATGCTGAGCTGTGAAGTTAAAATACAGCAAATATTTCACACTAAATTCCAGTACGAAGCTGTAGTTGATGGAGTCCTAATACACAGTGAAGAATGACTTCTGTAGCATTTCTGCAACAAAGCTAATAATAATAATAATAACAATAATAATAATAATAATAATAGATCATATATATATATATATATACACATATCATAATCAGCCAACCTTTGGGCGACAGATCATCATATATAAATATACAGTGGTCCCTCGCTACAACGCTATCAATGAGGGTCCGAATAATTGGGGGGCGTTTTAGACGATGAGCCGTTTAACCGAGGCGGAGTCGTAGGGGAGCGCACTGGGCCAATCTCACGATCTTCGCCTTGTCTCGCACATTGCAATGATACGAGTTGTTAAGGGTTCATAGTGTAAAAATAATTATACATCCATTGTATTTTCGCCGTTTGTTTTATTTATAAGCCCTTACTGTCATATTAAATGTGAAAGTAGTCTACTTACATGAATGTATCGATCGATAATGGTAGTAACAGACGCTATGAGTGAAGAGCAAATCACAATTCATTACACAAGTACAGAGTATTTCAGTGGCATTGATTGGTCATGTTGCTTAAGATACGGAAAAACGAGAGTTTTAACCAGCACAACATCCTCACGACGTCAAGCTTTTCTTCCACTGTGTACGCTTTCCTCATGTTGAAAATGGACTGCCCTTGATCTTACTTACTTACTTATATTGGAGATTTAACGTGCGCTTTCCGACTGCAAGCGTATGTCGCACACGGCCCGGCCCGGTCATTTAATGTGTTTCCGAAAAGGGGGAAAAGTGAGTTTGTGCAACCCAGGAGGGGGGCTTTTTTAGTAATTTTTAAATTTTGAGATTTGGAATGAATGCCAAGAGTGGGTGGAGGACGAACTAATCTGTGTGTGTTAGGTGGTTGTTAGATTAGGTAGTTTTGGTTTTAATATTTTATTTGTGTTTAAATGCGACTAATTAGTCCTGTTTTAATTAGGTATTAGCCTTAGGCTTTGAATTTTTCTAATTTATTTTGTGGATTTAGGATTGATTCTAGTGTAAGTGCGGTTTTAAGATTTAGAGTGGTTTGTAGTGTTGTTCGGTGTGTTTGGTAGTGTATGCAGTGAATAAGTACATGTTCTGGTGTTTCTTGTTGTTTGCAATGTGGGCAGTTTCCTGTTGTGTGTAGATTATTTATTTTACAGTGATTGTTTGGTTTGGTGTGGCCTGTTTGTAGTTTAGTAATTATTTTGTTGATTTTTTTGGATGGGTGTAGTATTTTTGGTTTAGTTAGGTTTTTTTAGAGTACTTTCCTGATTTAGCTATTTGAGTTTTGGTATATATTTTGCCATTTTTTGTTGATTTTTTTGTTTAGTGACACTTTTGATTTCTGATTTTGAGCTGGGTAAGTTTAAGCTTATTTCTGGGAGTTTAAGGGATAATTTTGCTGCTTTATCTGCATTTTCATTTCCAAAGATTCCTACGTGGGCGGGATCCAAATGAACTCTATTTGTTTACCTGCCCTAGTTAAGTTGTTTGAGCTTTTGAGTATTTGATTTAATAGTTTGGGGCGGTTTTTAGTGTTTTTATTTTTGAGGGCTTGTAGTCCACTGAGGGAGTCGGTTAGGATGAGTATTTTTTGGTGTTTTTTAGATTGCTGATTGTGTAGTGCTGAGGCCATGCCCATGAGTTCGGCCATGAATATGGAATGGTTGTTTGGGAGTCGGTAAGCTTGATTGTTTTGGTTGGTTGTGCGATGTGGACTCTGAAACCTGTGTGTTTTGAGATCGGATCTGAGGATCCATCTGTGTATATATGTGACAGCAATTTGGCCAATTTTTGTGTATGTATGCTAGTGTGGTGGTTTTAGCGATGTTAGGATCGGTCTGTTTATTTAGTGTTTCGGCTAGTGTTGTGTCTATTTTTGGTATTTTAAGTTTTGGAGTGAAGATATTGGATGATTTATTGTTTTGTTTAAGATTATTTATTTTGTGTTCATTTAGGTAATTGGTTATTCTTTGGGAAATTGGAGTAAGTAGTGGATGTTTCCGGGCTAGGGCTTGGTTTCTTGGGCTAATATTGTTTTTTATTAAGCTTTCGATTAGAGAGTTTGATTGGGACGCGGCCCAGAAGTTTAGGGTAAGTTGTTCCCTAAGTAGTTGAGTGGCATTTCTCCTGTTAAGGCCTGGAGTGAGGTGGAGGAGGTGCCAAGTTGAGTTAATTTTATTTAGAGATTTTTGTCGTAAGTTTTGGGCCATCTTAATGCTTTAAGTGCAGATCCAGAGGGCTCCATCATCCGCAAATTTTGATGTGTTTGTTTTGGGGGATAGTCACTCGATATAGATCGTTAATCATAATATTCAAGAGTGTGGGGCTTAGGATGCTGCCCTGGGGAGTGCCATTTTCTAGGGGACATTGGTCCGATAGCGTTTGGTCTATGCCCACGGTGATTTTGCGGTTTGTTAGGAAACTTTGGATGTAGTTAAATTATTTACCTTTAAAACCTATTTTTTTGTAGTTTTTGTATTAGCCCGTTATGCCAAACCATGTCGAATGCTTTGGAGAAGTCTAGAAAGATGCCTGTAGTATATTGTTTGTTAATTTGGCCTGTTTTAATGTCCTGCTCTAGTCGGGCGAGGTTATCTAAGGTTGAGCGTCTGGATTTATTATGTTGTTTTGTTCTAAGCAGTGTTGTAGCCTGTTTTTTCCATTGATTCCATTATTTTGCATAAGTTAGAAGTTAGGGAGATTGGTCTGTATGAATTAGCTTGGTCAGCCGGTTTATCAGGTTTTGGGATTGGTATGACCAGGGCTTGTTTCCAAAGTGATGGAACCTGTCCATTTAGATATATGAGGTTACAGAGTTTTAGAAGAGTTTGGAGTAGTTTGGGTGGTAGTTGTTTAATTATCTGGTATGAAGGAAGGTCTAAGACTGGGGCTGTGCCCTTTTTCCTATTTTGTAGGACGTGGAGTAGTTCTTCCATTGTGAAATGGAGATTAATTTCTAGGTTAATATCTTTTGGCTCTTTGGTAAATTTGGTTACTGATTTTAGTTGTTCCTGGAATTTTTGGTTGAAGTTGCTGTTGCTACTGACGGACGAGAAGTGATTTGCTAGGTTATTAGCTTTTTGAGTGGGGTTTGTTGAATTGTTTATGTTGGGAGGTTTTTCTAAGACGTTTAATGCCCCTAATGGCGTGGATTTTGCGCAAAACTGTTTTGGTGTCTGTATGTTGGTTAAGTTCTTCGCAAAAAAAATTCCAGTCTCTAGTTTTAGCTGTTTTAACTAAGCTTTGTACTTTGTGATTTAGTTTGTGTGCTATTTTCAGGTGTTTGAAGTCATGTTTGGCTTTATTGAGTGCGGATTTGCGTTTACGTCTAGTTTGTTCTATCTCCTCGTTCCACCAAGGAACCGAGGGTTTGCCTATGTTGGTTGTTTTGAAAGGAATGGAGTTTTTAGCTGCGTTTCTTATATAGACAGTTAGGTTTTTACAGTAGATTTCGGGGTCGTTACTTTCTAGGTCAGCTAGGTTAGCCTGGTTGCAAATTTCCTGAAATTTGTCCCAGTCGGCTTTGTTGTAGTAGAATTTAGGTTCCTGGTTTTTGGTTGGTGTTGGGATGTTTATGTCTCCTATAGTTATATTTATGGGGAAGTGGTCACTACCTAGTGGCACTCCGTGTACTTCCCATTGAATACTTTGGGCTAAATCTGGGGTGCATATGGTTAAGTCGATAGCCGACATTTTGTGGTATATTTTGTCGTATCTAGTAGGTTGGTTGTTATTTAGTAGTATTAGGTCATTTTGTTCTATCCATTCTGACATGAGTTTTCCGTGTTTATCTATTTTATCTTCTATACCCCAGGTAGGGTGGTGGGCATTAAAGTCTCCTAGGAAGATTGTAGATTTATTGCCTATTTGGAGGAGGGTGTTCAAATCCTCAGGTTTGACCTGTTTTTCTACCCAGTGGAATATATTTATAATATTAATTTTTTGGTTGTTACTTGTTATTTGGATACCGTTTGCTTCTAGGTTTGGTGTGTATATTTTTAGTTCTTTGTCGTTTAAGTCTTCCCTGACGTGTATGATTAGGCTGCCTCCGGCTCTACCCGGGTTTGTTTTGGCTCGGTCAGTTCTTATTGAGTTATAGTTTGGTAGGGTGAATTTAGATCTAGTGGAGAATTTAGTTTCCTGTATACAGACTATGTGTGGACCTTTGTCTCTTTTGAATTTAGCTTTTAATTCCCCGCTGTGGGAGACGAATCCGTTGGCGTTCCACTGAAATATATTTAGTCCTTCTATTTTGGGGGATGAGAGGTTCTTAGTTTGTTTGGAGTTTTAGGTTGTGTTTAATTGGTAGCTTCCCTTGGCTGGAAGAGAGGCCCTTGAGTAGTAGTAGTATTGGAGATTTAACGACCGCTTCAGCCGGTGGGGAAGAAACAATAAATAATGGAATAATAAACATAATCACCATTCCCAAAAAACTGTAAAGGAAGGGGAATAACCTAAAACAGTGGGGAGAGAAGGGAGATAGAGTTATCCTAATCTTATAACTACCCTAACTAATGTATAGCATAGTGGGACAATGAAAGCAGTTAAGCTGCTGTTAATTTATATGGGATTTAGAAAACAAAGAAAAAGGGAGAAAGCCTAGTGTAAGTCTAGATGCGCTGGGGGGGAAGGGGGGAGTACGGTGGGACGTGGTTGTTGTGTCGCGCAAACTCACATTGATTGAATGGCTTAGTAGTGTGGTTAAATGAATATGGGATTGTATAGGCTGGCTTATTGAGTTTGACCGCGCGGACGTCGGAGAAGAATTTCGATCCCGATCCGAATGAGAGGTATTGTTTACATTTTAAGACTGACTGATTTATTTGGGAGATTCTAAACATTTAAGCTGTGATTATGACTGTAGTTAGTGGTTTTAAGGAGACAAAGGTGGCAAGGCGGAGGGGCACGTTAGTTTTAGGGAATGTCGGCAAGGGAGCCACTGAGGAGAAATTTAGTGAGTTTGTAGTCGTTTAGTGAGAGCGGGTGATAAGACTTTTTAGTGAAGTGAGCCGTGGTGTTAGAGATAAATTGAGGGGTTAATTGAATGCCCTGTTCTTGGATGTCAATAAGGAAAGAATTTAGATCTTGGATTGTTGAAATTTCGTGTTCAAAACGTTCTTGATTAAGGTATTGAATGATGGTGAATTTAGCACGTTCTTGGGTAGATTTGTAAATTTTGATGCCAGAGGATTCAAGGGTTAGTGGGGTTGGTAATAGATAGTGAGATGAGAGAATTTGGTCGGCATGCTGTGTGAGATCAGATGTTAGTTGAGGTTCAGATTAAGAAAGTTTTTTGAAAGGGGTCAGTTTGGGTTGGGGTAGTTGACAGGTTAGTGGCCTTGATAGGAGAAGTGTGGGCATCTATGATGGTGGCTTGGGGTGAGGGGGGGGGGGGGGGTGGGAGTTTCAATTATCAGAGTCTGAGTAGTTTGGTCTAAACAGGGGGTATTAGGAATAGGTGTAGCTTTAGTCTGGGTAGCATGGTCGGAGAGGGGAGGGTGGGTGGGGGTGTTTATTCTTTTACGTTTTTTCTCCTGGGTGGGAGCGGCAGATGGGGTGGAGGTTGAGGAGGGGGTTGGAGGGAGGGGGGAAATGGGGCTGGAGGGGGAGGGGTCCATAGACTGGTCTAGCATGGTGGAAACGGGTTCAGATTGAATGTTTATATTCACGTGTCTCTGAGAGTCATTTGCTTGGGCTTGGCTTGGCTGAGGGTAGGAGGGGTCATGTGACTGAGCCATGTCTGCCTCTGGAGCCCGGGTAATCCGTTGGGGAGGAAAGTGAGCGGGATCTCTCCTGGAACGTGGGAGTTTGGGCTGGTTTGCATCAAAGGTGATAGTAATCACCTTTGTGCCGGCCGACAGATCGGCATTGAGAGAGTAGTTCGCTACCCTATATGATAGAAGAGGGAGTATCACTCCCACAAGTTCCCTGGGAAGGGACTTGTTGATGATCCTGTCTGTGGATGTCATGACTGAGATGGCAATGGCGTGTGTTCACTGAGACGAGCGAACGAAGAATGACCGTGTGGGGACAACGGCCCTTGATCTGATAATTTCACTTTATATACAGTAACATATGTCAAGCCAGATTAATTGGTTTGATACCGTTACTTGATCCAAATCAAAAGGAGTGATTGCCATGTTGTGACAGCAACTACATGTGAGTTGACAGTGTTGCCTCAAATTAGATTGCCCACTAATTAAGAATATGAACTTCGCTTGTGGTTCTCTTTTATTACATGCATGCGCTTCTAAGATCAAAGGATGTATAGTGTGAAGAGTTAACTAGTAGAACAATCATATTTCCGGGACTTTCCGCGGATGTTTCCAAACAGATTATTAGAACTCCATTCAGCGGTAAACGGTTGATTATGCAATGAGAAGCGTCATGTGCAAATGAACAACGAACAACAATACAATCATGTCTGTGTAAAACTCTCAGTATTAAAAGTGTACATAAATTTTGGGAGCCATGCATTACCATGAGTAGTAACCGAAGTAGCGCTTTATCGAAGAGCGCAATAGCCAGCAATCACTGTATATATATACATATCATAATCAGCAGACCTTTGGGCGACAGATCATCACAGATATACATACATATCATAATCAGCAGACCATAAGGTGACAGATCATCACAGATATATATATACATATCATAATCAGCCTACTTTGGGCAACAGATCATCAAAGATATATATACATATCATAATCAGCAGACCTTTGGGCGACAGATCATCAAAGATATATATACATGGCATAATCAGCAGACCATTGGGTGACAGATCATCACAGATATATATACATATCATAATCAGCAGACCTTTGGGCGACAGATCATCATAGATATATAAACATATGATAATCAGCAGACCTTTGAGCAACAGATCATCACAGATATATATACATATCATAATCAGGAGACCTTTGGGCGACAGATCATCACAGATATATCTACATATCATCACAGATATATATACATATCATAATCATCAGACCATTGGGTGACAGATCATCACAGATATATATACATATCATAATCAGCAGACCTTTGGGCGACAGATCATCATAGATATATAAACATCTGATAATCAGCCTACTTGGGTGACAGATCATCATAGCTATATATACATATCATAATCAGCAGATCTTTGGGCAACAGATCATCATAGATATATCTACATATCATAATCAGCAGACCTTTGGGCGACAGATCATCACAGATATATATACATATCATAATCAGCAGACCTTTGGGCGACAGATCATCACAGATATATATACATATCATAATCAGCAGACCGTTGGGTGACAGATCATCACAGATATATATACATATCATAATCAGCAGACCTTTGGGCAACAGATCATCACAGATATATATACATATCATAATCAGCAGACCTTTGGGCGACAGATCATCACAGATATATATACATGACATAATCAGCCTACTTTGGGCAACAGAACATCACAGATATATACATATCATAATCAGCAGACCTTTGGGCAACAGAACATCACAAATATATATACATATCATAATCAGCAGACCTTTGGGCGACAGATCATCACAGATATATATACATATCATAATCAGCAGACCATTGGGTGACAGATCATCACAGATATATATACATATCATAATCAGCAGACCTTTGGGCGACAGATCATCACAGATATATATACATATCATGATCAGCAGGCCTTTGGGCGACAGATCATCATAGATATATAAACATCTGATAATCAGCCTACTTGGGTGACAGATCATCACAGCTATATATACATATCATAATCAGCAGACCTTTGGGCAACAGAACATCACAAATATATATACATATCATAATCAGCAGACCATTGGGCAACAGATCATCACAGATATATCTACATATCATCACAGATATATATACATATCATAATCAGCAGACCATTTGGTGACAGATCATCACAGATATATATATACATATCATAATCAGCAGACCTTTGGGTGACAGATCATCACAGATATATATACATATCATAATCAGCAGACCATTGGGTGACAGATCGTCACAGATATATATACATATCATAATCATCAGACCATTGGGTGACAGATCATCACAGATATATATACATATCATAATCAGCAGACCTTTGGGCGACAGATCATCATAGATATATAAACATATGATAATCAGCCTACTTGGGTGACAGATCATCACAGATATATATACATATCATAATCAGCAGACCTTTGGGCGACAGATCATCATAGATATATAAACATATGATAATCAGCCTACTTGGGTGACAGATCATCACAGATATATATACATATCATAATCAGCAGACCATTGGGTGACAGATCGTCACAGATATATATACATATCATAATCAGGAGACCTTTGGGCGACAGATCATCACAGATATATCTACATATCATAATCAGCCTACTTTGGGCAACAGATCATCACAGATATATATACACATATCATAATCAGCGGACCATTTGGTGACAGATCATCCCAGATATATATATACATATCATAATCAGCAGACCATTGGGTGACAGATCATCACAGATATATATACATATCATAATCATCAGATCTTTGGGTGACAGATCATCACAGATATATATATACATGACATAATCAGCAGACCATTGGGTGACAGATCATCACAGATATATATACATATCATAATCAGCAGACCATTGGGTGACAGATCATCACAGATATACATACATATCATAATCAGCAGACCATAAGGTGACAGATCATCACAGATATATATATACATATCATAATCAGCCTACTTTGGGCAACAGATCATCAAAGATATATATACATATCATAATCAGCAGACCTTTGGGCGACAGATCATCAAAGATATATATACATGGCATAATCAGCAGACCATTGGGTGACAGATCATCACAGATATATATACATATCATAATCAGCAGACCTTTGGGCGACAGATCATCATAGATATATAAACATATGATAATCAGCAGACCTTTGAGCAACAGATCATCACAGATATATATACATATCATAATCAGGAGACCTTTGGGCGACAGATCATCACAGATATATCTACATATCATCACAGATATATATACATATCATAATCATCAGACCATTGGGTGACAGATCATCACAGATATATATACATATCATAATCAGCAGACCTTTGGGCGACAGATCATCATAGATATATAAACATCTGATAATCAGCCTACTTGGGTGACAGATCATCATAGCTATATATACATATCATAATCAGCAGATCTTTGGGCAACAGATCATCATAGATATATCTACATATCATAATCAGCAGACCTTTGGGCGACAGATCATCACAGATATATATACATATCATAATCAGCAGACCTTTGGGCGACAGATCATCACAGATATATATACATATCATAATCAGCAGACCGTTGGGTGACAGATCATCACAGATATATATACATATCATAATCAGCAGACCTTTGGGCAACAGATCATCACAGATATATATACATATCATAATCAGCAGACCTTTGGGCGACAGATCATCACAGATATATATACATGACATAATCAGCCTACTTTGGGCAACAGAACATCACAGATATATACATATCATAATCAGCAGACCTTTGGGCAACAGAACATCACAAATATATATACATATCATAATCAGCAGACCTTTGGGCGACAGATCATCACAGATATATATACATATCATAATCAGCAGACCATTGGGTGACAGATCATCACAGATATATATACATATCATAATCAGCAGACCTTTGGGCGACAGATCATCACAGATATATATACATATCATAATCAGCAGGCCTTTGGGCGACAGATCATCATAGATATATAAACATCTGATAATCAGCCTACTTGGGTGACAGATCATCACAGCTATATATACATATCATAATCAGCAGACCTTTGGGCAACAGAACATCACAAATATATATACATATCATAATCAGCAGACCATTGGGCAACAGATCATCACAGATATATATACATATCATAATCAGCCTACTTTGGGCAAAAGAACATCACAGATATATATACATATCATAATCAGAAGACCATTGGGCAACAGATCATCACAGATATATATACATATCATAATCAGAAGACCTTTGAGCAACAGATCATCAAAGATATATATACATGACATAATCAGCAGACCATTGGGTGACAGATCATCACAGATATATATACATATCATAATCAGGAGACCTTTGGGCGACAGATCATCACAGATATATCTACATATCATCACAGATATATATACATATCATAATCAGCAGACCATTTGGTGACAGATCATCACAGATAGATATATATACATATCATAATCAGCAGACCTTTGGGTGACAGATCATCACAGATATATATACATATCATAATCAGCAGACCATTGGGTGACAGATCGTCACAGATATATATACATATCATAATCATCAGACCATTGGGTGACAGATCATCACAGATATATATACATATCATAATCAGCAGACCTTTGGGCGACAGATCATCATAGATATATAAACATATGATAATCAGCCTACTTGGGTGACAGATCATCACAGATATATATACATATCATAATCAGCAGACCTTTGGGCGACAGATCATCATAGATATATAAACATATGATAATCAGCCTACTTGGGTGACAGATCATCACAGATATATATACATATCATAATCAGCAGACCATTGGGTGACAGATCGTCACAGATATATATACATATCATAATCAGGAGACCTTTGGGCGACAGATCATCACAGATATATCTACATATCATAATCAGCCTACTTTGGGCAACAGATCATCACAGATATATATACACATATCATAATCAGCGGACCATTTGGTGACAGATCATCCCAGATATATATATACATATCATAATCAGCAGACCATTGGGTGACAGATCATCACAGATATATATACATATC